GAACACCGATATAAAAGGGCTAAAATATGTTAGCGGGGAACCAGAAAACGACGTTAACTTGAGAAAAATAGGGTCAACGGTCAACCCTCGCCTTAACAGAATTTGCATCTTTGTATCTATCTCTCGCGGGAGCTCAAACACAAGATTCTGTCCGTTCGTTTCCCTTGCCCTTCTCGTACAGAAGTGCCCCCTAACAAGGGGAAAAACCAACAACGACCATTTCCATCCCATCCCCTGAAAATACAATCATACCAAGAAAACTAAAAGGGAAAAAAACAAAAAAAACAAAAAGAAAAAGAAAAACTGTTAATTCCTCTCTGTTTCCGAAGATCTCATTTTGGAGCGATTCTCCTATACCTTCACAGCCATTATGGAGAAGAACCTTGCTGAATCAGGCAGTTTCGCTCGCATAGACGAGAAGAAGAAGGAAGGCGAGACACCACGTGCGCCTTTACCAGATTCCGGAGAGACCGATGCCAAAGAGGTTGAAGCAAAAACGGATGATGAGGCAAAGCCACCTGCTGCAGATGCAGAGATCAGCGAGCCCGTTGAGAAGGAGGAGGAAGATGCTCCCATTGAGGTTGCAGAATCTCCACCTCCCAGCCTCGAGAAGGTTTCAGAAGATATCGATCAATATCTTGAGACACTCACCAAGAATGCAGACGTTGAAGAAGCTTCTTTAGAGATCCCTGATTTCATTGACAAGTTCTTGGAGCTTGTTGAAGAGAAAATCGCCGTGTACGACTCGGGTGGAGTTAAAGGCAAATGGGGTGAGGTTGCAGAGGAAGATTCGTCACTATTTGGAGCTCTGCATCAGGTTTCCAAATTAATGAAACTGCTGAGCCAGTCTCAATCCTCCTCGGAAGAGATCAGTAAAAGAAAGGATGCGTTGGTCAATCACATCGGTACGCTTCAGCACCGAGCGATGTCGTATTTCGAGGAAGAGTTCCGATTTCTTATGGAAGAATCTCGAAATCCGGGTGAATCCAACCCCTGTGGTCATGACCCGAAAGGGAAGCAAGTGGAACAGGACCAGTCCTCTGATCCGGAATCCATCGAGTTGGAGCCCGAGTTTCCGAGTTACCCCGACGAGACCATTGCGAAATTGAAACAGATAGCGAAAGTGATGAAATCAGGTGGTTACCAATACGAAAGCGGCCAGATTTATTTGGTTTGCAGGAGGTGCACATTTGAAGAGAACTTGAACAAAATAGGATTCGAGAAAATGAGCATCGATGAGATTCTGAAAATACAATGGAAAATATTGGAGAGAGATATTCCAGCTTGGATCAAAACCTTCAAGGATTCCGCCACCGTCTATTTGTCCGGCGAACGGAAGCTGGCAGAGTCGGTGTTCGAAGAAGATCCGTCGCTAGCAGTGAGCCTATACAGCGATCTCTCTCGGTGCATTGTCCTACAGCTTCTCAACTTCGCGGAAGGGGTGGCCATGACGAAGCGAGCGGCAGAGAAGCTATTCAAAACCATTGACATGTACGAGACCTTGCGTGATGCAGTCCCCATTTTCGAGGAACTGTTACCGGAAGCGGTTGCGAACGAGCTCAAGACGGAGGCGACCTTAACGAAATGCAGACTTGGCGAGAACGTGATCAGCACATTCGGTGATCTAGAAATTGCCATCAAGACAGATGCCGAGAAAACTTTGGTTCCTGGCGGTGCGGTCCATCCATTGACTCGCTACTTCATGAACTACCTTCCATTCGCATGCGAGTACAAGGACACGTTAGAGCAAGTGTTCAAGGAGCACTCAAAGATTGAACGCGCCGACTCGACAAGTAGGCCCCGCTACGAAGGGGAAGGGAATTCTCAACAGAATGTTAACGCCAACAATTCCGGCACTGAGAATGAATCGCCGTTTGCGGCGCAGGTGACTAGGTTGATGTCTCATCTGGACACAAATCTGGAAGGGAAGGCGAAGCTGTACAGGGACGTGGCCTTGAGCTGCATCTTCATGATGAACAATGGTAGGTACATACTCCAAAAGATCAAAGGGTCAAAAGAGATGTACAGCTTGATGGGAGAGACATGGTGTCGGAAGAGGTCGTCGTATCTGAGGACGTACCATAAGAATTATCAGAGAGAGACATGGAGTAAGATTCTAAATTGCCTGAGCCCCGAGGGCTTGAGCGTGCACGGGAAGGTGCAGAAGCCAGTGCTCAAAGAGAGGTTCAAGAGCTTCAACGCAATATTCGATGAGATACACAAAACGCAGAGCACGTGGATTGTGAACGACGAGCAGCTTCAATCGGAGCTGAGGGTGTCCATAACAGCGGTGGTGATTCCGGCGTACAGAGCATTCTTGGGGAGGTTTTCTCAGATTTTGGACCCAGGAAGACAAACAGAGAAGTACATAAAATATCAGGCTGATGATATAGAAACCTTAATCGACGAGCTTTTTGATGGAAATAATGCAGCTAGAAGAAGACCATGATCAGACCAAAATTTAAACCCAAAAAAAAATTAAAAGCGAAGAAGGGTTCAATCTGCACGGAGGTCGTAGAAAGGGCCATGCACGTGCATTAGAGTTCGTGTGCTGTGCTCGGTCGTGTCTCGAGCTAGAGCGACACTATGTATCCACTTCCTTTCTTCTCTGATCTTTTCTTTTCTTTTCTTTTTTCGTCCCTCCTAAAAGGTGTTTCGATTGAGTTAATTAATTTTCATTCTTTGTTATTATATATGTTTAATGTCAATTTGGTACAGAATTTTTTCTGATAACTATGACGTAACTAATTAGTTTCAGTACATCATCACCTGATTGATATGCCTATATCTGTATATTCGGTATCAATCTAAAATAATCATCACACGCCCTGATCACATGTGTATATGCTGCCTCTCTGCTCCTTAATATAAGAATCAGTTTAGTATTTAATTTGATATTAAATGTGAGATTTTAATCCATTATATTTCTTATATTTATTTATTTATTTTTAAAATAGTTTTTGTAGTAGTTTCATATATTAAAAGTTTGTGATTATCATTGATATATATGATTAGTAAGAGTATTTTAGAAAATACGATATCTACTTGTTGCAGATAACTAACTTAATTAATTCTTTTAATTTATTTAAATTAGTTAGCTAATTTATGTATTAAGAATTTCTTTTTTTTCCTTGTTGATCAGAATGTACAAATGATGTTCATAAAGAATCTCGTCTAATGCTCGGGGGAAAAAGGTTTTAACAAACTGCCTCGCGTCCGTGCGTTCAGATTGGGGGGAGCAAATTAATGACGACATCTGAAATGGATTAATGCACAACGTTTTTACTAGACAGGTCATAGGAGTCACGGGACTCGCATCAAAACCATTATTCTTCTTTTCTGTGAAAACACGACCGCTATGTGGAGACAATTTTAAATACGGAGAGCCAGAAACCTTAAAATTTACGATTGAGTAGCGTCGTGATAAGGATGTTGACCAGCAAACTTGGGATGAAAGCTGAAAATTTCAGTTATATGCAACTCCTATTATTAATTCTTAATATAAGGTATTTAATTTGGCTCTAAATACAAGACTCTGGTCTAATTTATGTTTTATATTCATCAATGTTTTTAATATAGTTCTTGTAGTAGTTATATATGTTAAAAATTTTATTAGATGGTAGTTCTAGCTAATACACATAATTAGTACTCCCTCCGTTCCTTATTATAAGAGACAAATAACCGAAATACGTTGATAAAAAAACAGTTAAAATTAGTTAAGAACAATTAATGTGTAAAAAGTATAATTTTTTTTTCAAAAATACCCTCATTAATAAGGAGAGAGAGCATAAGAGAGAATAATTAAATTATTAAAAGAAAGAGAAGTGAGAGGAAGAAAGAATGTGAGTTGGAGATAATAAATATGGGTAAAATAGTAAATCAACACAAAAAAGAGAGACAACTTGTAAGTGTCTCTTATATATAGGAACATGCTATAAGCATCAAATGTCTCTTATAATAAGGAATGGAGGGAGTAATAAAGATATTTTAAAAAAGACATATAATAAATATCTACTATACATAACTAACTTAACTAATTTTTATTAATTTATTTAAATTCATCAACTAATTCTAATATTAAAAATAAGGGGTAGCAAGACAAACTATTGAAATTATTTCATGTCCCAGGCTTGGCCCTGACCACCAGATTTAGAAACGTGGTAGTTAGATATTATCAATAGGTGACTTTCCAATTTTTGGTCCATTAGCTCAAAATTAAAGGACCCCACTTTTTATATTTAAAATGATTGATATGCCCCTTGGTCTGTAACTGCGGACTTTTCAATCGTTTTTTTGGAAAATAAAGTTTAATTCCTTAAAATACAATCATAAATCTTTCAAAATAACAATCCCGCTGACCGGGAAAAAAAAAAATTCCATCCGGACAACAATTACGTATTTGTTTTTAAGGCATTAATTTCAATGTAGTAAAATCTAAGAAAATTGAGCCTTCGGATGTAAACTAATCTGGCATTTTTAATGTGCGAGTTCTATAAACTTTGCATGAGATTTGAATTGCTAGCTGTTTGCGAGAAAAGATGCCATGCACTCTTTATATATTTAACTAATTACTCCTCTAATCTTATTTATAAGACAGAAAATTTTTTAATTTTATTTATAAATTATCTCATTTGATTTTTAAATAAATATATTATTTTGTTATTTATTTATTATAGTGTAGAATTATAGGAAGTTTTTTTTAAGGTTTATGTATTAAATAAGAGCAAAATTAAGATGTTACTATATTTTAAGAAAAAGCTAATGCATTTTAAAATATAATTAATTTCTAGTTACAGATATTGGAATTATTTAGCCGTGTTTGGTATGAGTTGGACTAAACAGTTCGGACTTTGATTTGATTTAATTTAATTTAATACTCTTGTATTGCCATAGATGGATAAAGATAATTGCTGGTAACCAAAAAAAAAAAAAAAGAAGGAAGATAGGTAAAGATAATAGAATTAGAAACACGGAATTGGGGCGGGGCCGTGAACCTCGGGGGTAAACTGGGGAACCAGGGCAAGGAGACTACCCTCCTGCACTGTAATCCTGAGACATGGGCAGAGAAGGCTAACTAAACCAGAAACAACCCGTTGTTGTTGAGCTTAGAACTGCAAGACTTTCCTTACCAGTTAATACAAAGGGGCATACCTCAGAATTCAAATGTTTGGAGGGCAGTTTTCGATACGCGCTTCCTATAACGAAGCCTTCACCTTCAAAATTGAGTTTCTCCCTCTTTTTCACATCCTCCATGACCCTAATTACTGAGCCCTGCCAAATCACAGGCCGTTAATTTTTCGTATATCTTCACCCGCATTCGTGGTTACAGCTATGTACGTACCTCTCTGTTTCTCTGATTTTCTTTATTCTTATTCTTTCTTTTTTTTCTTTTTTGCCCCTAAATATTATTCTGCAATTGTTTTTCTCTCCTCCGATGTTCCCTTATCCTGTTTCTTCACTTATCTGCATTTGTTACCTCTATTTGAGGGATTCTTTTTCTGAAGGCTTGTTTTCTCGCTTTAGAAAAAATAATTCTCCTGGAAAATTATCATTTTTATATGTTTTCTGTTTTGACTGTGCTTGCTTTTGGGCGGTTCTTCCCTTCGCACCCCAGTGTAGTTTTTTTTTTTTTTTTGGTGAGGTAAATTTGTTGAATAGAATTTTGCATAATTGTGGAGAAGTTTAGTGGCGGTCTATGTTGATTGTGAAGGCATTTATCTGCTCACATCTAATTTAGTTAGTCATTTTAGTGGGGTTTACATTCATATACTTCGAGGTGACCAACCTACAGGATGCACTATCATAGATTGCTGTATGATGCAGTCTTCAATGCGATGATTGAGAAATCACCTCTTTCAAAGGAAGTTTAGTTATGTGGTCTAGATTGGGCTGATCCTCATCATGCCTTATGCATATGAGAATCTACTGTGATTCTCCTTTGCTCTATTATTTATCTTCCCTCCGAGGGCTTGAGTATCTTCATTTTCTCTTACTAGAATGTTCTTAGGTTGTGGTTTACTCCAAGGTCTTGAGTAAACCACAACCTAAGTGAGCATGTATCTATGTGCATATGCATAAGTGCTTGCGTCGTGTATCGGCATCTTCTATGTGCTTCTCTCTCGGAAAATTCTAGGTATATGGTTGCAGAAAATTCAGTCATTGCTGCCCTCCCATCTTAAGATCTTTATAAAATTAATTTTTTCTGCTTGTTCATCTGTGCCAGCTCCAATCAGAAAGATGGGTAGCACATTCAATCCACATATTTTAGTGGAAAAGCTGACGAAGCTAAATAACTCACAGACGAGCATAGAGAGTATCCTTTGAGAATTATGTGTGGATTATGATTCCTTTTACCTTTTATTTTCAATTTAAATCACTTAAGTGGTTATTTTTTTCTGTTTCCAACAATTGACAAGGTGAGTGGGTTACCCTCCCCACAACCCCCCAGTCCCCCACCCCCAAACACACACACACACTGTTGTTGCAATGTGGCTTTTGTGGTTTACTTTGGTTGGAACATTAGCATTCTAATTGTGCCAGTTATGAAATCAATTCTCAAAGCTCCCTCCTTTCCTTTCCTTGCTTAACTGTGAATTTGTGATGCTTTATATATATGACTGTTATGAGAACTACTTTTTATCAACTTCCATATTCAATGGCGAATGGTGGCTTCATGACTGTTATTTCCCTCTTAACCATATCATTGAATAGCAAAGTTTTGGTACACTCTGTCTTTGTGTGTCTGTGTGTGTGCGAGCATGTGCGCGGGCGCGTGTGCGGGGGTGCTTGCGCGCGCGCGCGCTCCTCATCTCAATTTAAATTAAGCATTATAGTTACCAAGGCTTTATATATAGCCCATGTGGTAAGTCCCTGTAATTCAATAAGACTAATTTAAGCTTCTGATCTAAATAAAATTTTATTTCATGTAGATATGTACCAAATAGACATGCATTTATGTGGGTTCTTTTCGCCTTTTTTACTAGTATATTTTATTCCATACAAGTTGCCATCCTTAATTAGACTCAGCTTTGTCACATTGGTGCATCTTTCATATGAATAAAGCCAAACAAGTAGTTGAAACATGGGACAGGCAATTTCATTGTTCTCCTCGTGAGCAGAGACTGGCATTTCTATATCTTGCAAATGATATTTTGCAAAACAGTAGGCGGAAGGGTTCAGAATTTGTTGGTGAATTCTGGAAGGTTCTTCCAAATGCTATTCGAGATATGGTTGAAAATGGAGATGAGTTTGGAAGAAATGCTGCACTCCGACTGGTAAGTTACTAACCAATAGACGTTTTTCCCTTTTGGCCTTTCCTTAAATTCTGTATGCTATCTCGACCTTCTCTGTTGTTTGCATAAGTCTGCTTCTGCTAAAGCATTAGGAAGCAAAAGTCATGGGAGAATGATGAATCAAGCAAAAATGGAAAATAAGTAATATGGGCTGGTCGATGGGATACCCAAAGATAGTGGTTCTCTCACCTAAACAACTTGCTTTTGGGATATGGTTTTCTTACCCTGCATAGGTGCCTCCTATTAAAATGCACGAATTATGGCACCCATGGCATGTTTCAAAAATCGGGATTTAGTAGTGAAATCTCAATGTTTTTGTTTCATGTTTGTATATGTCAATAGTAAAATAAGTTACATGAAACATTGACATGGAATTTGTTGATTGCTGAATTGCAATTTTTTTTCTTTGATGCAGATAGCTATCTGGGAAGAGAGAAAAGTTTTTGGTTCCCGTGGTCAAATTCTTAAGGAAGAGTTTGTTGGAAGACATTTGGAAAATAGTGCTCGCAATGGGAAGCCTATGAACTTGAAATTGGTAATAGTTTTATGAACATGACTGTGAATCAGCCGCCTTGAAGGCTTTCTACATGTTGGTTCCAACTCTAAGCCCTTTTACATTCTTGTGACAGAGGCCATCTGCTGGGAATGCACTGGAGAAAATAATTTCAGGTTATCATGTTATTTATGGAGGGCAGACAGACGAAGATATTGTACTTAGCAAATGCAGGAATACCATTAGCTGTCTGGAGAAAGTGGATAAGGAAGTTGGCCATGATAATTCAGGTATGTCAACTTTATAACTTTTTCTGTTTGTAGTTTGTAGGAAATGTGATTTATGCCTGGAATTATTTATATTTGGGCAAGCATAACATGTTCCTAATTTTTTAATCAATATATTCTGTAGTTGTATCAAAAGTTTTTCCCCCCCTACTTAGGTGCTCAACTCAGCAGCATATAAATGTGAATTATGAATATTTACGTAGATTTAAATCAAACTAGGTAATTCGTCGTGATCTTACCTCTTTCTTCCATCACCATGGCTTCCTATTGAGTTTTCACATTTCAAGAGATAATAAGATGAAAGAAACAAGCTGAACAGAATTTCAAATTATTGATTTTCTTGTCGTTGTCATGACTGCATTAGCTTAAATGGATATCCGATTTTAAGTTTATATTAAATTACCTATTTATCTTATGCATTTAGTGAATGCAGTGCCATGTTGAGTCAGTCACACGCGCGTGCGCGCACGCAAACACAATATTGGGATGGTCCAAAAATTAATAGTGTTTGGTTGGGTTGGAATTCTTTTTCTTGTGTTTTTTTTTTTTTGGGTATAAGGGTTGGAATTCTTTTTTATTGCATTTTATTGGATTTCTTGTTCTGTTCACTAATTTTGGTAGGACAATTACCTGGATCGGCAGTGATGGATGAGCTCCAGGGACATAATGCTGCACTGAGGGACTGCATCGAGCAATTGACAGCAATAGAATCATCGAGGGCCAGCCTTGTGTCTCACCTGAGAGAAGCTCTCCAGGATCAGGTTCTATTTTAAGATTGCTTATTTCTATAAAGGTACAAACCTTTGACAGTTTGTAATTCTTACATGGTTTTTCTTCCAGGAACTTAAGCTGGATCAACTCCGAAGCCAGATTCAGGTATGGGATTTATCCAAATTCACTGATTTATTTTGAGTCCTCTTGCTCTTTTCAATGAAATGTCAGCTGGGGATTAAAGGAGAGGGCCTACTTTTCATTAATGTCTTCTTTATATGCGAGAACTTTGTGACTTGAAAGGGCATCTTATTATGCACTTGTTTGAGTATTTTATTTTTAACATTTCAGGCTGCTCGTGTTCAGTCAGAACAGGCAGGCAATACCTGCCGACAGTTACTAAACAACAGTGATACTCTATTAGCAGCTGAGCAAAGTTCAAAAGAAAGTCAAACCTCCACAGCGCCTCCAGGCTTTATTCCAAAAGATAGGGAACAATCAGCTCCATTAATCTACACACAGCAAGTATCTTTCCCTCAAAAACCTGGACACATTGATGAAGACCCACGCAAGTCTGCTGCTGCTGCAGTGGCGGCAAAGCTAACTGCTTCTACATCATCTGCCCAGATGCTGTCTTATGTGCTATCCTCCCTGGCATCAGAGGGGGTCATTGGCAGTTCCATGAGCGAGTCTTCTGGTAATTATCATTCCGAGAAGAGGGTCAAACTGGAGAATGACCAGCCATCTTATATACCATCCCAGAATCCTTCACAACAACCTATTCCTCCCCTTCCACATCCCGACCCTGTTCAACACAGTGTGTCTATGATCAATCAGCATTCTTCTTCTAGTGAACCACCGCCTCTACCCTCGTCATCACCACCGCCATTGCCACCACCTCCACCAATGCCACAATATCCAATGCCACAGTTCACGCAGGCTGCTGGCAATGTCGCATATAGCTACAGCATGGCACAGCAACCATCAACGGCAGCTTTCCCAGCTTTGGGGGCTTCCCTGAATAGTGTTTCTCCCTTCACACCTGCTCCAGTGACTAATTACCAGGGTTTCCAAGGTTCAGATGGAAGTTATTATAACCAGCCATCATCAATGCCAATGGCTCCAATTTCTCGGCAATAAATTACTGATCCTTGCTGTTATGGAATCTGATCCATGCTATGATCAGATTTGCACATATTAAATGTTTTCCTAACCTGGTTATTTGTTAATTCCTGTTCACTTTAGGGAGTTCAAAAAAAAAAATTCATTTTAGATGTTAAAACTGAGAATCCTTCAGTGGTTGTAGTAAGTTCCCTGATATTAGTGCTTTAGGGTTTAGAGGTTTACTGGTGGAGGGTTGCGAGAATGCAGATGCTGGCAATAATCAATGACTGGAAGCTACTCATCTGTCAAGCTGGTTTTTGTGTTTCCAAATGATCTTCTCTGAGCCTCCGACCCCTGTGGATAGCAGTTGTATGTACAGATCAGTGTTATGTATTAGTAATTTATGGATTTGAATGTGCGCTAGAGCCAGAACTGAGTAATAGAGCCCGAGTAATTATCAGTATATTAGTAGCATGATAAGTTGTACTTTCAGTTCTGAGGCATATTTTTCTTGTCTTGCATTGATTAGTCAAACATGAGTGAACTTATTCATGGAAATTAGAGTTCCTGGGATTTAGAGAAGTAAAACAAGTATATAATAAAGTGACCTTCGCAGTTAAGCTGTTTGGAATAAAATACTTGATATATGCGAATAGTCACATTCTGTTTTATGTTAACTTGGTTGTTTTGTTGCTATGCTAGTGAAGATTGTGTCTGTGATTACAAGCTTAGATTGGTAACTAGGGCTGGTCTGGTTTGGCAGCGTAGTGATTTCTGCGGTGTTGCCAAGTGCTGAAATCTAGCTCCAAATTATGTGATTCTGCTTGGGTCTAATTTTGAGACTAGGTTGGAAGTAACAGAAATTATTCGGACTTCGCATCAATACCTTTACAGTTAAGGACAATTGATTGCAGAATATCACATAGCATAATCTCATAGCAGTATGTAAAGTAATTAGATGGTGGGGTTTTGTATATTACATGAAGCTTTATATAAGCGATATTGCTTATGATTCATGAATGATGTGGTTTTTTTTTTAAATAAGTTTATTAGATATATATATACACACACGTTTGTGAATTTGTGTCTACATTTAGTGCGCGCGCGGATTTATTGTAAGCAAAATTATGCAGAGGATTTATGTTAAAGCACTGATGCACGGATCAATATATTCATGTCTTCTCTTTTCACGTCCGCTTTGTCTCACCGTATACTTTGTTAGTTTGTTGTGAATTCTTATTTTTGCATACCCAGAAAAAAAAAAAACAAAAGAATTCTTATTTTCTTGGGGGCTCGTGAATTTTTTGACCCACCCTCATCCCCATTCAGAAATCGAGGGTGAGATCTTTTAATTTAAATGGGTGTTTGGGTAAAAACAAAATTATGGTTTTAAAAGTATTTTTATAGTATTAAACATATGGAGAATTTTGTCTTGATTTATGAAAAAATACTTCTAAGAAGTGTTTTTGGGTTATCCAAACACCTCTTAAATGAACTCTTTTTTTTTCCCTCCAAAAAAGAAAAAGAAATATCTTTCTATTCGAAGTACTATTGGGCACTAAATATGGGTACCTCTTCTAGTGAGAATTCAAACTTTAATTCATGTTGTGAGGAATTTGCTTTTTCTGTAAGATCCAACTCTTGTTGCTGTAAGCAACTTAATTTTAGAAAGCATGTTTGGACAATTTCTTTACTGTTTAGAGCAGTTTTTGGCCCATTTAACTTATGGCCGAAAGCTGCTTAAATTGAGCGACTGATAAAAACATCCCAGATCCTACTTTTATCTTTTCAACCATGCCTAATAACTTGGAAGAGAGAAAGAATGTGGGACCGGGAACGCTTTGCTTGTTTTTATCCATATTTATAGGGTCACTTCTTTATGTTATCAATGTGGTATGGAATTAACACTGTACATTTCAGTTTTTTTCTTTCTTTTTTTTAAAGGTATGACATTTTGTACATATGATACATATTTAATAAAATTCATCTTCAGTTGTTTTACAATTAAATTTATTATTTCAATTATAATTTAAACAACTCTACTTTTACAAATTAGCTTATTTGGAAAATAGTTAGGTTTCACCTTTAAGAATTTTACTACTCTCTAGAAGCGATAAATAACTAACTGTGGATAACAAAAATTAATTAAAATTAATTAAATAGGTTATAAATATATTTTAGATTTTAAATGTGCTCTTATAATAAATGAGAAAAAGTAAAAAGGAAAATGTATGGAAAAATATAACTAGAGAATATAACAAAAGAGAGATAATAAATTATTTACATATATTATTTAATATCACGTCCTTTTTTATCATTTTATAACATAACTTTTTAATAATAATCCAAAAAACTCCACTTATAAACTGACTTGTTTATAAAAATCAATCCAAATATAAACTATATTATCCAATTTAATTTTTATTTAATCTATTTTTTAAAAAGTTAAATTAAAAATAAACTGCTTTTTCTACGGTCAATCCAACAACCAGGCACATTGATGATTGGGCTGATCAGAGAGGGGTCTGTCAATGTTCCCGATATACAGAGGAGGACTGAATTGCGTGTAAATCTATGGAGTATGAATAATAGAGATGGGCGAAATTCTGGGACGTAGAGGCCACTTGGTCTGAAGAGCATATCGAGCAAAATCCTAAAAAGGAATGTATGTGAAGAGTCAGCAGGAGAAGGGCTTAACCATGCATATGCATTTTGTAAGCAGAAGGCTGTTTAGAAAGCCACAAAAAAGGTTTAGTGGAGATGCAAGTGTGACCAACAACTTTTTTTAATCTAAAGTCAGGGCAAGCCTCCCCACTTTCTTCCTCGCAAGTACTGCTCAGCTCCAGAATCCTTGGTAACCCCTCATCTCACAAAAGCTGCTTTTGGTTTTGATTATACTACGATCCAACTCAACACCTCCCCTTTTGTAAATATGTGCTGGATCCATCCATTTTTATCATTGCATGAGCAGGCATGCATCCGTTCTTTGCTGCTGGAGGAGAATGTTTTAGCAATTAACCATGGATTTGATTCTTTTAGTTCCTTACAAAACTGGCATTATCATGCCCACGCCACCCCGCAGTGATCATTTCTTTTAAAAATGACACAGCGTGGAGACACTAAGTGAGACAAAAGCACCGTCAGATCGCGATACCGATGCACTCTTCTTTCCATAGATCGACTCGCTTTAAGGTTCAAAATTGCATTTATAAAATTCTTAAAAAGCTAAGCGTGTTACGTTCCTAAATATGAAAGAATAATATCGAGAGGTGACATATGGACACAGCCTTGGATACTGAAGCCCCCCTTCGACCCCTCTCTCTGAGGCGTTTATTTTAATGGAGAAGGAGGGTATGATCTGGTGTGGTGTTGGGTGGGTGGTGTCACTGTTGAAAGTGATAAGGACAATGGCAAAAGGACAGAGAGAATCAGAGAAATGTAATGGTGATGAGAGATGATGAGGGAGAAATACTTAAAAAATGGGGAAGAGGAAAAAGCGGTCAACGTTGGAGTAACGTCAGCTGGGGTTAGCATGGTTAAGGAACAAAAGCTGAGAAAAGCCGTCATGTCTGCGTGTGTGTTTGCTTTAACGGCTGAACCAGAGTTTTGACGTTGATAAAGTAGGGCTTGGTTTGGCTTCCATACTTTTGTGATTTTCTCAAGCCTTTATTTTTTCATAAAAAGATGGGTTTGCGTCAGACTTTGCTTCCCATGAATCTTCCCCCTCATGACACCATTATTCCTTTTCGTATTGGTGTGTTTACTCCCTCTCTCTCCCTCTCTCTCTCTCTAATGTCCATCTCTCATTTTTCTGTCTCTTTCTTTGTGTTTGTTTGTGTCCATCCTCTATACTCTGAGAGAGAGAGAGAGAGAGAGAGAAGCAACTAGCTAGGGTTAAGACCTAAGTGGTTCATTCATCAGGGCGTGCTGTGAATGTGTGCTCGCTTGTCTGCTGCCCCAACCAATAAAACAAAATTAATAGAAATGATGAGACTAAAAGTGAATGAGGAGACCAACAGACATCCCGCATAATTAATGCTTCGTGTCTATTTCCTCTTAATTCCTCATCTATTGCTAATAGCCAACCCAACATTGTGCCTCTTTGTATGAATTGGTGTCTGCCCGATATGTCTATCTTTAGATGGAGCAATGCAGTGCAGGAGAATATTTGTTCCTCTTGTACTTCCTTCAGATAGATGTTCTATGTGTTTGGGAATGAAAACGGCCAACTAATTCAAATGATTTTTTTTTTTTGGGGTTGCTGTGTTCATTTCACAGTCCTACATTCTGGGCTGAAAAACATGTTGAAGTTACTCATCTGCAATATCAATAATGATTGCATATATTAAGCCTTGTTGCTGTGCATTTACTCTACAGATCCAAATTGTTTTCAGTACTGCTTATTTAACGTGGTCTTTTCAGAGCAAGTTAATATTTTGCTACGGCATCGTGAACTTTCATTGATTACATTGACGCTTTGATTAAACAACAGCATAAATGTTTGAGGCAAGTCTTCGGAGCCAGGGATATGGCTTTTGACAACCCCAAGGAATCAGGGTGAGATTCAGTATTCGACTTCTAGATTTTGCTGATATAATATTTCTCAGAAATAGTAATAATTCCTTCTTTTATGTGATTTATTTAAAACTGTTCAAGAATTCTACTTCTTTAATAAAAAACTCTAGGAGATTTGTTTCACCGATAGTATATGGCTTGGCTAGTTAATTAACTGAGTTGGGCATTTATGCACATGAATGTGAATGAATAAAAACATATGGCTTGATATTTTAAGCCAAAAACAGAGAGAATGAAGATATATGTATAAAGGTGGGAATTTGATTAACAATAATTAGGGGCTAATGGAAGATTGGAAAGTATGGAGAAGACAAGGGAGACATGCATGCAATATTGTGTTGGCCTCTATATATACATACATATATAATTTTTAGTCTTGTGGGTGTGAGATTTGAGCAGACAGGCTTTCCACTTCCACGAATTTTTTATTCTGATGCACTGTTACCTTCTTCCGGCACCAAAATATCTCTCTCTCTCTCTCTCTTTTATTTTTTATTTTTACCTTCACTATCTATTTCACATGCTCTTTTTACATTTTTTTTAGTCTTTGATTTTGACAGTAACAGTAATAATAATGCCGGGCAAAACTAGGAAGCAACTTATATTGAACAAATAGGGAGTAGCATGATAATAAAGATGGCAAACAAGAACAGACGACATTGTTTATACACACACACACAGAGCAGATATGTTTATCTTTCTTAATTTTCTCCAAATTGGACAAAAGCTTTTAATTTGAATTGTTCGCAGTATATATAATAATCCATATACGGATGAAAGGTGGAGTTTAGTTCGCATTGATCTTGGCATTCTTCGAAACGTTTGTTCAAGTGATCATCAACTGGTCTACAAACTAAGGATTCATATGCTTGCCTCTGCAGTGTGGTCATCGAAATTTGAAGTAAAATTGACTTTGA